ACGGACGATGCTTGCCTAGCTGCAAATCTCTTCTTTAGAGAAGTTGTTAGGTTGCATGGGATACCTAGGGCAATTGTATCTAATAGAGATGCTAAGGTCATGAGTCACTTTTGGATGACACTATGGGGAAAACTTAGAACTAAGTTCGACCACTTGCCACCCCCAAACAGATGGTCAAATAGAACTGGTAAATAAAACTCTGTCCTAACTATTAAGATGCATGATTTCTAGGAACCCCAGAGAGTCGGGGAATCTAATTCCCCATGTAAAGTTTTCATATAACTGGGTGGTTCATTCCACCACCTCCCACTCTCCTTTTGAGGTCGTTTATGGGTTCAATCCCTTAACACCTTTAGACCTCCTTCCTCTACCTACCCATGAAGCTTGGACTAGCCAAGATGGTCTAGAAAAATATAAGATCATGAAGGACTTGCATGCCCGAGTCAGAGCCAACATAGAGAGGAACGTAGGTTAGTATAATAAGCATGTCAATAAGGAAGGAAGGAAGTCATCTTTCAATCTAGAGATTGGGTATGGCCTCACTTGAGAAAGGAGAGGTTCTCGACTCAAAGGAAGTCCAAACTCAACCCCCAGGGTGATGGACCTTTCCAAATAGTTAGGAAAATAAACAACAATGCATATGAGTTAGATCTACCAGCCAAATATAACATTAGCAACTCTTTTAATGTTGGTGATCTTACTCCTTTTGATGCAGGTTTTGCAAATTCGTGGACGAATCTCTCCAAGGAGAAGAGGATGATGGGTCCCTAATTGCTCAGTGGCGGGAGAGATCATGTCTAGGAGGATTACTAGGAGCATGACTAGAAGGGAGGCCTCCTCCTCACTTTCTGTAGACCCCTAATTTTGCCCGGTCTCTCAATAAAGGCTAAAGAGACTTCCTACAACAAAGACAAAGCTCGTCTGACATCTCAATAAAGGCCAAGAAGACTTCCTATATGAAGATAAAGCTTTAACGGGCGTTTATCGGCATCAAACGACGTCCGAATAAAGAAAGGAAAGCTTCCCAGGGGTCCCAGAACACAAAGGCTGGCCAAAACAAGTCGAGACGGCCGTCCCAAGGTCGAGACGGTCGTCCCAACCTTCCCTGGCCAAGTGGGACGGCCATCCCAAGTGGGACTGCCAGTCCCAGGTTTCAGGTGGACTCAGCCTTTGTAAAAGAGGCAGTTGGGACGGTCGTCCCAACCCAGTAGGGCGTCTCAAATGTGTAGGCAGCGAAAAACTATAAATTGGAGGCTCATTTGCCACTGTTTCACACACCAGACAACTCCCAGTACTTGTCTATCCTCTTCCCTCTTCGAATGAACTCTCTGATTGCCTTGATAAGGTAACAATCAGTTAAGGAATCATATTCCAGCATTCGATTCTTCTGTAAAATTGAGTCGAGTCGATCTTGTATTTGGAGAGGAGAGTCTTTGTAGAGCGAAGGATTGCCAAAACGCATCCTCACGATTAAAGATTCGTAATACAAAGCTTGCTACGGAGGTTCTGTTCAATTCTCTTCTCTTTTACTGCTTTATTTATTGCTTTCTGTATGCAATAAGAAATAAAGTCATGTAGATAGCCATTTTTAACATTATGCAATAAAATAGGGTAATCGCGTAATTTCTCATAATCTTCACTTAAATGAATTAATCCGTCATAGGGAACCCGAAAGGGGCGTTGTGGGGTGCTAACACCTTCCCCACACGTAACTAACTCCCTTACCTAACTCTGGTTATAATGGCCAAGTTTGGTTTTTAATAAAATCAATGCCTTTTTATCCTTTTCCAATGTTTACGGTCAAAACATTGGTGGCGACTCCATAAGAACCCCTTTTCGAAAACCTTGCTTTTATTAGAGGATAGTTCAGTTGTTGAGCACCTCGGAAGCAATGAACATAATTTTAACATAAAACGCGAGTCTAAACCATCTTTTCGCGACCGCTCGCATAAACGTTCGAGATGTCCCTGGACGTCGGAACGGACGGCGGCGACACTTTCAATTTTAAATTTACTTAGTATTTTTACTTAGTATTTTCTTTTTCTAAGTTTTTCACTTATTTTCGTTTTCCTTTTGTAGGCTCATTTTTTGCACATCCTTTTTGAAGAAAGCCACCTCTTTTTGGTGGAAAAGAAGCCTTGGATCCATATAATACATACATGGGCAGCCCAAAGGTATAGGACACTCCGTTTTCATGTCCTAAACCCCTTTTTGGAGAGGAAGAAGCTTATGATGCGGGATTGGTAGGCTTGTGACAACCCAAAAGGAAGCACACCTTTTTTTCATGTTCTCCACACCCTTAGAGGCAGTTTTGGTCGGCTAGGACGAATTTAATATATTTGGGCCATGGGGACTCCTTAGCCTTTAGGTTTAGGTTAAATTTATGTCTCCCTTTGTAATTCCATCTAGATCCCTCTCCCAAAAGCCTATAAATAGAAGGCTTCCCATCATGTAATTAGGTTGAACATTTTATGACAAGTTTGTAAGGTTTCTTAGAGTTTTTCATCTCTTTAATTGTCTTATCTTGAACCTTGGTTCAAGTGGCGATAACCACCACTTATCTAGGGTAGCTCATCGCCTAGTGGCATGCCAACACTCCACCACGACCATACTTTTCTTCTATTCATCTTTTTTTCTTTATTTCTTCACCCATTTATTTACCCAAGGGGTTAGTCCATTTTTTCAGCCCTTGTCTTTATTCTTTCTAGTTTCATTCCATCTCCTCCTCCCTCCACAATCCTTGGAACTGAACCTTCACATATAGATAGGCACCTATCTTAATGTCCAGTGAGAATTTTCATTGGGTTTTCTTACTTTATTGCTTAAAATTCTGCACCTTATCTTCTTAAAAGTTCTACACCTTACGTTATTATACATCAACCAAGGCATCTCCTAGATGAAACAACACTTTTGTCCCCACTTTCAGACCAAAGATCTTAGAAAACTTAGATATTTCTTGGGGATCGAAGTAGCACAATAAATAATGGTATTGTTATATCTCAGAGATAATATGCATTAGATATTTTAGAAGAAAGTGGGTTGATGAACTTAAAATCTATTGGCACACCCATGGATCCCAATATCAAACTCCTACTTAATCAGGGGGAGTCTCTATCAGATCCTAAGAAGTACAAAAGATTAGTTGGAAAATTAAACTATCTTATTGCTATTTCGAATTTCCATAGTTCGACATGGTGCCCACTTTGGAGGAGTACGAAATTATGCTAAAATGGCCCAAATCAGCCGGGGCCCATATCCGCCATGGGGCATACACTCCTGCAGCACAAGTCACTGCCATCATCCGACTACCATTCCGGTAGACTACCCTGATGAAAAAAGGGATCATCCGGGGTTGGAAAGTCTCAATGTTAGAAGACCATCTTTTCGACTTGGCTAAAAGGGTAGAATGGGTCGCTTTTAACAAAACCCTGGCCTTAATCATATTTGGAACGATCTTGTTTCCCTTCCATCTCGACACAGTGGATCAAGTCATCATGGACGCCTTCTTCGCCTGGGACGTGAACTCGAAGAGTCCCTTGCCTGCAATTCTTGCCGACAACTTGCTCTCAGTGGAATTCTGCCGCCAGAAGCAAGGAAAAACACTTCGTTGTTGCTCTTCACTACTCTTTGTGTGGGGCAATGCACATTTTTACGCCTCTAGTCACATAGGGATGTTCCCCAACCCTTTGAGGAGCTTCTCCAAAATCCCTCTCCAGCGACTGTAGACCCCAAATCTTTCCCGACCTCCAAATAAACAGTAGAAGACCTCCTATTCGAAGATGGACGAAGCCTAACAAGCCACTAGGAGAGACTATTAGGCCCCATACTAGGATAGTAGGGATTTTCGGCATGAAAATAAGGTTTCTTGCCTTTTTGGGGACGAGACCGCCGTCTCGAAATCGAGACCGCCGTCTCGCCACTTTGGCATGGCGAGACGACGGTCTCATTTGACGAGACGGCGGTCTCGACCCTGTCAGACGAGACGGCGGTCTCGACCTGTCAGACGCGAAAAACTATAAATAGGGGGCTCCATTCCCTCATTTCCACACACCACACAGAGTTTTCTCCTCCTTCTCTCTAGATCTTCTCTCTAAAATCCCTCCGACGCATTTTCGGAGCTTCTGAGTGTCTTTAGAGTGTTTTTCAAGCGTTCCGAGAGGTTTTCCGGCACTGTAGAGTGAAGGGCTGCCACAAAGCACCCTATTTTTAGAAGGAATTAATAAAAAAGCGTGCTTCGAAGGTTTATATTCTCCCTCTCTACTTTTATCGCTTTAATTTGAAATTATGCAATAGAGATTAGGGCCATGTAGTCGTAACTTTAAATTCTGCAAAATAAAGGGTAAAAGCGTATTTTCCGGTTTATTCATCCAAAGTAGCTAGCCTATCATAGGGAACCGGAAAGGGGCGTCGTAAAGGAACTAACACTTCCTTTACGCGTAACTAACTCCCTTACCCAACTCAGGTTCTAATGACCAAAGTTGGTTTTTCGAAAACCAACGCCTTTTTCCTTTTCTGATGTTTCCGGTAAAAACGTCGGTGGCGACTCCAAAGAACCCTTCAAAACTAGCTCTTGGATTAGCCCGGTTATCGGACAATCCAAGAGCTCCCTTTCAAAAACCTCGCCCCTAGGTTCAGCTCGGTTATCGGACAACCTAAAGGCGTTGTAACCACCAATAAAAGAACCCGAAAATGGAAAGTCGGAAACCATCGTGTCGCTCCGACCGCCCTCGTTTTGACGGCGGCGACAACGACGCTTAACCTCAGAATGGAAGGAAGAGTTGGAATAATGGAACGCCAACCATTTATCCTGGGTCTGCCCTTGGTTTCGACCTGGTCCAGTCCTCATCAGATGTGAAGATTATCCGAACGTACCCTTGATAGGATTCAGGGGTTGCATAGCCTATTCACCTAGAGTAGCTATGAGACAACTCATGAGGACTCAAACTACAATTTCTCGAGGGGAACTCGGAGGATTGTGTTTTTTCGGAGACCCATGCACAATGGCCAACTCACTAGCCGTGAGAAAAGCATGGGAGAAACCAGTCTTTATGGGAGACAGAGAGCTAGGAAAAGCTCGAGTGGCTGTCTCCAGTGGCTATGAGGTATGGAGAAAAAGAAGAGGGATGTCTCAACCATCCACCTCACTCCTTACAAGCGCCAATAGTGAAGAGCTGCAAGCTCAAGTCGATGCCTTGACCTAGAGGATAGAAATCATGGGAGCCCAGATGAGGGCCCTTGAAGAAAGAGAACAAGAATCTATCCTCACCATTGATGGTCTGCAAAGGCAATGCAAGAAAAAGGATCATGAAATAGAGCGCCTCAAGGATCAGTGTGCTGATTCTAACGAGCAAGCTATCTGAGCATCCAAAGCTGCCAGAACCAGCTCGGATAGCCAACTTCAAAAAACAACTGCCAAGTCAGCACGCCTTGAGGCCGAATCAGCAAAACAGGCTCAGACGATCAAGGATTTGTTGCAAGACCTCACCAGGACTCGGTCAGAAATACGCCAAGAGCGAGAGGCCAATCGGAGACTCAACAAAAGTCTCGCTGAGTTACGTTGCAAAGAAAGAGATGGGCTAGCTCAATACGACCAAGTACTACAAGAAAAGGACCAAGCCCTTGCAAAACTCGATGAACTGCAAGCCTTGGTCATCCATCAAGAGGCGAGGATCAAAGAGGCTCAAAAGTACAGTGAAGATATGAGCCAGGCAGTCCAGAAGCAAAGCGAAGCGCTTGCCCGTCACGTCCGGGAAGCCAAAAGGGAATTATGTAGAGATCAAGACCTGCCTGTGGGTTTCTTTAGGCTTTTCCGTTTCTGTCAAAAGTTGCTTCGTAGTATGGAATAGGGGAATGTACACCTTCCAACGGATAAATGAAATTTTTCTTTATTCAACAATTGTCTACTTGCATGCATATCATTCATTTGCATATTTAATTTCCCCTCCTTCACTTTTAATAAATAAGATAATAAAAAAGGAAGGATTAACTGACACGTCTTCCAAATCAGAAGAATGGAGAGAAAGCCACTCCTAATCAAGCTTTCCCCAACGGTTGACTTGCCGCAAGAGGACAATAAGCCTCGACCGTTGGTCCTCAAAAATAAGGAAGAGGGGGCAAGGACACCAGTGCGAGTATTTATGCCACATCCTTTCCCCTACGAGTCAAATAAAGTTGTACCATGGAGATATGAAGAATATTCACCAATAAAAGAGGATATCTCGAATATAGCCGGCATTGGGGGCATGACTAGAAGTGGAAGAATCTACTCCCCCAAGGACTCACAAGAAGATGTCCCCAAAAATAAAGGAAAAAATAAAAAGACCGAAGAAAAAGAAAATAAGGAATCCAAGGAGGAGACAGAAGAATTACTCCAGTTTATAAGGTAAAGCGAGTATTCCATTATAGACCAGCTCAATCATACACCTGCAAAGATAACTCTATTATCTCTAATGATGAGCTCGGAACCGCACAAAAATTCCCTGATGAAGGTCTTGAGCGAAGCGCATGTACCTCACACCATATCCCAAGAAAAGGTTGAGAGGATCGTCGGTCACATTATGGAAAGTGATCACCTCACCTTCACAAAGGAAGAACTCCCCCTCGAGGGGTCAAACCACAACAAGCCCTTGCACATCTCAATCAAGTGCAAGGAGTACCTCATTGCCAAAGTTCTTGTGGATAACGGGTCATCCTTGAACGTGATGCCCAAGTGCACACTTGATAAGTTGACTATCCAAGGAACCCGTCTGTCCCCAAGCAACACTATCGTTCGAGCCTTCAACGGATCAAAATGAGAAGTAGTGGGAGAAGTTAATTTGCCAATCCAAGTTGGACCCACTATCTTCAATGTCTACTTGACAGGCCTTGGATTCATGACGCTAAGGCGGTACCTTCGACGCTCCACCAGAAAGTCAAATTCATAGTGGATAACAAATTGGTCACGGTCCAAGCGGAAGATGATATCCTAATCAGTGGACCATCCACCCAACCTTATGTGGATGCGGCTGAAGAAGCCCTTGAAACATCTTTTCAAGTGCTCGAAATTGCCAACATAGAGCGACTTCCCAAAAACACAAAGGTAGCCCGCATGATGTTGAAGCATGGTTACCATCCTGGCCAGGGATTGGGGGCAGATTCCCAAGACTTGAGAGAACCCCCAGAATTCAAAGAAATCCTTCCAAGTATGGCCTAGGATACGACCCTACTAAGGGCCGAGCATAAGGAAGAAAAGGGAAGTCTCCCCTCTGCACACTCAAGCGAATTTTTTGAAGCGGAGGGGTGCAAGCGTCAAGAGCTACCCTAGTCATTAGGAGATATTTTTCTTCATTTAAGGGATGTAAACCCCATGATTGTTAGAGATTATCCCCCGGGGCTAGCCCGACCCCCGGGCATTTCAGGGCACATATTCCCTTATTAATTAATAAAGAATATACTTCTTACTATCTGCTTCTCTTCTTGCTATTTCATGACTAGACCTCACAATAACCTTGTCTAAGTAAACGAAAAAAGAAAAAGAAGAATAAAAAGCGCGTCCAAATAATCAAAACTTGCCATTGTCATTACAGTCAAGCTAGTTGATTAGAAGCACAAAATAAGACTTTATCTCACCATAAAAAAAGTCATGCTTCGCCAATATTGTGAAAAGAATAATAAAAAAAAAGAAAGAGCCCATAGAAGCCAAAGGCCAAAAGAAAAAAGGGCAAAATACCCGGTAGGAAACCCACTAAGGGGGCTACACAAAAGATCGGGTCAACCCGGTAGGATACCCAAACAAAAATAAAGGGTAGCCTAGGCAAAAGTTAGGGTTACAAAATAAGGTCCGCTAGGATTCCCTAAACAAATACAAAAAGAAGGAACCTAGACAAAAGACAGGGCCAAAACACAATATCCTAGTTCAAAAACCCAAAGGGCGATCTAGGGAAATCAACTAGTCATAAAAAGCAATAGCAATAAACTAAAGTGCAAGTACAAAAAAAGGGGGGAAACGTTTGCTTAGACAAAAGCTTAAACACTCAGGCCTAACCCTAGCCAACCATTCTTACAAAAAACCTTTTTCTAAATGAAAATTAACCTTCTAAAACACAAGTCATTGAATTTGCCCTCTTACTTCTTTTCTCTTCACCCTCACAACAATATTCTAATAATTTATTTGGGAATATGGAGGCGTATAGTCAACAAGAGGATTGAAACCCCTAAAGTGAAGAAAAAGGGACATTAACATGGCAAAGTGTGCTCTACAAAAAAAGGAAAAAAAGAAAAGGCAAATTATTCTTCGGTCACAAGAGGTCCGGAATGGTACAACTAAATACAAGAACACAGATCAGAGGACATTCGTCACTACAAGACACGTCGGTTAAATCCTTACGAAAAAACTAATTAAAATAGGCATTATAGGACACCAAACATGAAAACATTGCATGCATAAAATGTTTTTGAACCAGGTCCTATTTTCTACAACTATATATATATATATATATATATATATATATATATATATATATATATATCTCTTAGAATCGAGACGGTTGTCGCGCATTTCCAGACCGCCATCTCGATCTCCAGCAAAATGAGACCGCTGTCTCGACCAACGAGACCGCCGTCTCGACTTGACCAAAAACAAGACCGCCGTCTCGCTTGGTGAGACGGCCGTCTCGCTTAAGGCCAAAGTCGAGACCGCCGTCTTGAGGTTCCAGACGGCCGTCTCGACTTGCACGAAATCGAGACTGCCATTTCGACTTCCTAGACGGCGATCCCGAATTTGAAAAAATTTCTATAAATAGAGGGGGGCCTAGGGGGGTCTCCACACCTCCTCTTGCACTCTCACTCCCCATTATCTCACTCTCAAGTACCCTACTGTCAAGATGCACCGTGGAAGTCAGTCCAGAAAGAGAAGAGGCTCTACCGGTCCTAGCAGCTCCTCAACTCCCACTCCGAAGGACCCCACACAACTTTCACCACTACACCAGGCCCGTCTAGAGCATATCCAGGGGTATACATGGCACCCTATGCTAAGGTTAGATTTCGGCATCCTCGCCGAATTCGGATGGGAAGATGACGTCCGGGCCCACATCGACAGCATAGGGTGGGGCTTCCTCCTTCAACCTACACCTACCCACGTCTACCCCCAGGTGGTGCTAGAGTTCCTCGCCTCCATCTCCTACGTCGAGACGCCCGCCATGGTACCAGGTCTGTCACCGACAAAAATGGTGACATACTTCATGGGTGGGATGTATCGGACCACCACCCTGGACGAATTCAACATGACCATTGGGTTCGTCCAGCCCGAGGACATGCTGACTTGGGACTACCAGGAGGCTATCTGCGCACGCCCCACCAACCTCACTGCAGGAGAGATGTGGGAAGAGCTCACTGGGGCGCACACTTTGCCCACGCTAATGAAGGGCTCCGCACTTCCCCCAGCCTCCGCATCTGCCATAAGCTGCTGGCAGGGACCATCCACAGGCGGAAAGAGAGTCAGGGAAAGGTAACCCTTCCGGACCTCTTTGTCCTTTACTGCATGAGCCAGAGGCGTCGGTGCAACCCTGGCTATTTCTTCCTGAAGGCCCTCAAGGACTTCGGGAGTCGGCCCGTGGGAGCCGTCCTCATGGCTCCCCTCATTACCCCCCTAGCAGAAAAATGGGGGTGCAGTGGCAGGGAGGAACTAGCCTCCAGCCTCCGACCCGAGACCATCAACGGGTCGGTCCTAGTCAGTATGGGATGCTACTGTGCCAAGGGACCCAGCTGATCCTCCACCCCTCACTAGATATCACTTTGGATCTCTGGGATCTCGTGGCAATGCACGATCTCCCGACACCTCCCGAGTACCAGCAACAGCAGCAACAACAACAACAACAACAACAACAGTACATAGATGATTTTGCTGGCATAAACCGCAACATCTACGATTTGCGCCAGCAATTCTATCAAATGTTTGTAAGACAAGAGCAAATGTCCCTAAGGCAAGAGGCCTTCGACACGAGATTGGAGACAATATACCAATACCAAGAGGGAATGAGGCAAGACTGGGCGGCATTCCAGCAAGAATACCGCGACAAAGCCCGGGACCAAGCAAAGTTCTGAAGGCATATGTACCGGCAGTTCCCCTCTTATGGATCGTCTCCAGACACGAGTCCTCCGTCTTAGAGATAAGGCTTAGAAAATAAAACTGCTGTAATGAATTTTTATCATAAATAAAATTTTATTTCACACATTTTGCTCTCCCTTCCAAAAGGAGTCAGCGTAACAAAAAAAAACTAAGAGTAAAAAGACGTACGCTCAGAAAAAAGCCAAAATCCAAAATCGCGAGAAAAAAGAGATAAAACCGCGAAAAAAGGCAGGATTAAAACAAGTTAATCACCCTGACCAACAAAATTCGACGACCAAGCAAGAGTCGAACAAACAAACAAGACTACCCGACAACCAGTAAAGTCGGATGACCACCATCAAAAGATTTGTCGCCGCCGTCAGAACGAGGCGGTCGGAGCGACGCGATGGTATTCGACTTTCCATTTTTCACGTTTTTATTGGTGTGGTTACAACGCCTTTAGGTTGTCCGATAACCGGGCTGAACCTAGAGGCGAGGTTTTCGAAAAGGCGCTCTTGGATTGTCCGATAACCGGGCTAAACCAAGAATTGAATTTTGAAGGGTTCATCTGGAGTCGCCACCGATGTTTTTACCGGAAACATTGGAAAAGGGATAAAAAGGTGTTGGTTTTCGAAAAACCAACTTTGGTCATTAGAACCAGAGTTGGGTAAGGGAGTTAGTTACGTGTAAAGGAAGTGTTAGTTCCTTTATGACACCCCTTTCGGGTTCCCTATGATAGGCCAGCTATTTAAAATAATTAAA